TGCGCGAGGGGGGAGGAGGAGGCAGGGGCTGAGAAGGCGTCAATGCTGCTTTGAAAGGAACCGGAGGGGGCTCCAAGGGGTTCAGGGAACCAGCCCCTCTCGGGAAAGAAAAGAGCTGGTCAGGGGGAGGGGGAGAGGAGACCCAGGAAGAGGGGCTGAACGAGACCCCCTTTTTGCAAACAGCAGAGGGAGGGGGCTGCCTTCTTCTCGGCAGCCCCACCAAGATGAGGGTGTGGGAAAGGCACCACGCTCACAAAAGGTCCTGCCACCAAGAAGGTCCACCCTGCACGGTGGCTGGCGGGCTGGCGCTTCGGAAGAGCTGGGAAGGGGGGCCCCTCTAGCCAGGGCGGGCCAGGGGCCAAGAGAAGGAGTGGCCTTGGAGGGGCTTCTGTTCCTGGGAGATTCTCACCTGAGGGAGGTTGCAGAACAGGATTTGGGGTGCAAGGGTCAGCTGGACCCCTGGAGGGAGCCGAATTCACACCCAATGCAAAAGCCCTATTGAACAAGGTCCCCGCTAGAGAATCCAGACAGATTTGGGGCATCCTTCTCCCAATTCAATAAGCCCCTCCTTCAAAAACCAGGCTACCCTTTATATAATGTAAAAACAGCCAAGTATTTTTTCAATTGGGTTCAGCTCAATTTCTTGTCTGTGGTGATGCAGATTCCCAACAAAGGATCTGAAAAGTACATTGAAATGGGGGTCCTTGTAGACTTTGCAGCAACCCGATCCCCCCCCACTTTGGATATTAAGGCATTCAAATCTGACACCCCCACTCCCACCCTCATGCGTCAATCACAAGGGAAATGAAGCTCTTGTGCCCCCTCCCCCCCCAAGACCGAGAGGTGCCCTCGTCCATCTGCTTTGGAGTCAGTCGTGCAAAACAAAAAAACTGGAGACAATTGCAGGAAACACTTGAGAAGTTCAAAATTCTTTCGGTCTCGGCAACAAGAGCAACTCGGGGACAATGAGATTAGGAAAAATAATATAAAATTAGAATAACAAGGTGGCACAGGCCTAGAGCAGCAAAACAAAACAAAACCGTTTTTAAGAGAAAACCCAAGATGCTGGGGCTTGGGAGGGGCCCTTCTGCCTGGGGGAATCCTGGAAAGCCAGCCGAGCAGGGCTGGATGTGGCAGCCGCCCCAAGCAGGGCAGGGAAGCGTCACCTTCCCTTCTTTCTACCTCCCCCCCCCCCCCGAGCTCACAGCAGTCAGCCTCACTCGGGATGCCAGGAGCCGCTGGAGACAGATGTTCTCACCAGCCCAGCTGGCAGGGCAGCCTTTCCCCACGCCAGCAAAGCAACCCACCCAGGTGCCAGCTGTGGGAAGGGGCTCAAGGTTGCTGTACTGAGGCCCGAGTGCCCTGCTCTAGTTCGCCCAGCCCCTCGGGTGATCTGCTCACACAGCACAGACTGAACCCTAAGGATTTAAGGGGGTGGGCTGTTTCAGAGCCGGGTCTGGTTCTCGTGGAGGCAGGCACCCCGTCCCCATCTCCAGCCCTAGCCTGCCAGGCCGCCCTGGGAGTCAGAGTACTGCCAACAGGCATCCACTGCCCAATAGGCCAAGGTGTGGGGCCCAATCAGACCTCCACGGTGGACGGTGGCTGTGCTCCAGCTCCCCCCAAGGGCAAGGCATCTTGAAAGCCCCCGTGTGGGGAGAAGCCTCTGCCTTGTAGCCAGGACCACGAAACTGCCAATGGGTTAGCGAGGGGCCCCACTGTCCGATGGCATAGCCAGGCTCAGGTAGCCAACCTCATTCACCGCCCTTGTCAGGCTGTGTGAATCCAACCCAAACAGTTCGATGGGGGTCAGCTTCTTGTGAGAATCCAGCCTGGGCCAATCAGTCCCACAAATCAAAGTCACCCTGTTGTGTGAAGAGCCGGCTTCAGGGGAGAAATGCTGTCCCTGTAAGGATGCCAGCCTCAAGAGCCCTGCACAACCTGGTGCCCGCCCGTAGATGCCGGGACAGCCACACCAGCTGGGTGGGGACTCTGTGGCTCTCCTGGGCCCCTCTCCTCCAGGGCCACTGAACACTCAGTGAGGGAGAGAAACAAAAGGGGCTGGTTTCCTCTGTCCAAAGAGGTGGGGAGCTACAGCCCTCATCCTGGCAGCCCAAAACCATACGGATGCTTCCCCTTCCATCGTTTACACTACTCTGAAGCTGAACTGTTCCTGGCAATGGAGGCTCTCCTTCAGAGTTCCCTTCCATTAGTCCCACGCCTGCTAAAGTTGCTGCAGTTTGATCCCATTCCCCGGTAGCCTTCCAGGGCGTCCAACTCTCCCTTTTGGCGAGGAATGATGGGAGCTGTGGTCCAAGACAACGGCAGCACCCTCTTTCTCTCTCACACCCGCCCCCTTGTCTGTCTGTCTTGCCCCCTTCGTGCTCCCTGTCCATCTGCAGCTTCCTTGAAATCTCCGCCTCTGGTCAGGAAAAGAAAAACAAAGCACACACAAACATAGGAACATTTTTTTATATAAAAAGATCAGTGGAAAAATTACTTATAAATTTCTCACCCTGGGACTACACAATGCTATGATATACTCAGAAATGCAGCCCCCCCCAACACAGCCTTGCAGTCTCCGTCATCCAGTTAAAAAGTGATCATACAGTCACCCACGTAGAGCTTCAACATAAGCCTAAAATTCTGCACAAATTAATTAACATAATTAAGAAAGTTATTTGCCGTCTAGAAACGGGAGGGGGGGAAACGACCATTGTCTAGCAAAAGGCTGCTCACTAAAGTAATCTGGGGGGGGGGGGTCAGCTTCTTCCAATATCTGTTTTTTCACAAGTGTTAATGCATTTTCCCAAGAAAAATATTTAGACTTAAAGATGGTTCAGCACAAAATTGATGCATCTCAAACAAAGAGACACTTCCCATTTTGGCACAAAGGATCCAGCAGCACAAGTAGCCAAAACATTATCCCTTTTAGGTCTCAGTGGGTGCATGCGTGTGTGTGTGTCAGGTGGGACATAACACCTGGCTACATTCAATAACTTTATGGGTTGCATAGAAAGTATCTAATTTATTCCCTCCTGTGTCAGCCCAGCAGTGCAAGTCCCACCAAGCTGGGCAGGTCTCACTTTAGAGCAAGGATTAGGAGCCATTCCTGTGGGGAGAACCTGCCCAATGCCAATTTGCTCATTTGCTAACTAAGATAATGAACCCCTTTTTCTCCCTCAAAGGCAGATATTCCTAGCTGAGTTCCCATAGCAGGGAAAAACACCTCTTGGGGGTGGGGGAGTTTCTCCCATTAGTTCTTTAAAAGAAGGAAAGAGCGGGGATGTCAGAATCAGAGCAGAAGAAGCCTAGAGGATATTTCATTTCACCCCCCCCCAAAAAAAGGTTTCACAGTCTCCAAAAGTATACTTTTCATATATAAAAATATAAATATGTGTTAACATCTTTACATGAGTCTTTTTTTTTTTAGAAAAACCGGCTTTTAACCAAGATCTTTTCCTAAAACTGAAATCTGATCTTGGATTTCTGAACACAAGCTACTTTTTTCTTATTTAATAATTATGCCATAAATGTTATGACATTTTATTGCGGCAAATCTGTTTTAAGACAAAAAGAAATCATGTGCAACTCTAAAACATCCCCCTCAAAGTTGAAAAAAGGATCTGGTTCTCCCCCACCAAGGACCCTCAGGCTCCCTGCAACCCCCCCCAGCAGGGCTGGTGAAGCCCCCAACCGCCATGCCTTTTGCAAATCAACCAGGAAGAATGTAAGCAGGAGGGGGCTGCAGAAAACAGGCTCCCACTTTGGGGGGGGGGGTGCATGGAGGAACTGGAGATAGCAAAATAACTCAGTGCAATGGGGTGGGGGAAATTATTGCAGGAATTAGGGAAGAAATATGCGTAATAGCCACCCCTCAAAATAAAAAACCTGCATTTTCTGAACTACCAAAATAAACATCCCTTCAAACAAAACGCCCAAGTCACAAACTATTCATGTTCACACACATCCTTGCACACGTACAAGATAAATACTTAAACGCTCAGCCCAAACACAGTGGAAAACTATAGTTTAAAAGGTTTAATGGCTATTTGAGGGGCGGGGAGAAGAGACGCAGGCGAGGCGGCAGCGGAAGGGATTATTCATCTCTCTCTCGCGCTCTCGCGCTCTCTAGTGCACACGAAAAGGGGGCCGAAGAGGCGGGTGATTTCCTCGACATTCACGGGGCTGCCCGGGCGCACCACACCAGGCAGAGACTCACGAGCAGCATCGAAGGCACGCGGGCGCTCAGTTCCTCTCCTTCCCGAAGCCAGCCCCGCGTGGGAATCGCCTCCTTCGAAAGGGTTCGGGTTTCAGTAGTTTGCTTTCCCTCCATCAGCAGCAGGGGGCGCCTTCGATCTTCCGGAGACGCTTCCTAAAGCACCCCCTTCCCCGGGGGGCGAAATTCACCCTTTTTGCCAAAAAGAAGAGAAAAAGGGGGGGGAGCTCTCCCGCCCTCTGGCGGGGTGGATAAGAAGAGCGCACGAAGGGCTGCGCCGAGGAGGGGCTATTTCGGTCTGGACACCAGACAAAAGCTACCAGCGTCTTGCTCCAGAGCAAGAGCTGCAGGGCGACCCTCAGCCGCGGAGAGGACCCCGCCGGGCCGCGGCTTGCCTGGGGGGGGGGCGGCAGCTGCTGGCGGCGGGGAACCAGGTCCGGGCTGCGGTGGGCAGCGGCTGATCGGCCCCGAGGAACGAACGAGCGGGGGAGCCAACACTGTGGAAGAACCGAGGTAGATGAGAGGCAGAGCGGCGGCGGCGGCGGCGGGACGGAGCGCGGCGGCTCTCGAAGGGCGGGCAGGTCGGGGCCAGCGCCCGAGTCTCCTCTGCCCGAGCGGCGGGGCCGGCCGGCCGACAACGCGCATCTCTCCCGGGAATCGGCGCAGGGCTCAGTCCTTCTGGCGGACTCGGGCGACTGAGGCGCCGCTGCGCTCGGCAACTGGCTGGACCGGAGGGGTTTCGGGGCGCCGCCGCCGCCGCCGCCGCGGAGTTCCCGAAGCGCGCTCAGCCGCGGCCGCCGCCCCCCGCGCCGCCTCCTCCGCCGGCGGCCGAGTACTTGGCCTTGGTGATCAGGTAGAGGACGATGTCCTGGTGACCCCCGAAGGCGGCGATGTGCAGGGCGCTCCAGCCGTCGCGGTTGGCCAGGCGGATGTCCGCGCCGAACTTGACCAGCAGCTTGACCAGCTCCAGGTTGCCGTCGATCACCGACTGGTGCAGCGCCGTCTGGCCCTCGGGCCCGAAGGAGTTCACGTTGAACTCGCAGCTGCTCATGTTCTGCAGCAGCGAGTGCAGCTCGGCCGTGTTGCCCTTGCGCACCGCCTCCTGGAAGACGCGCTGGCTGGGCGCCGCGCGGGGGGCCGACAACTCCGCCTGGCTCATGGCTGCGCGCCCGGCTGGCGACGGGGCAGGCGTCGCGGCCGGCCCCGCATGGGCAAGGCGCGCGGGCCCCGAAGAGGCCGGCTGGCCTGCTTCGCAACGCCGGGCTCCTAGGTCCACACCGCGGCCGGGATCGCCGGCTGGCTCGAGGGATGGCGGGCTGGTACGGGCGCCGGGCGCCGCGGGTCGGCCGGGGACTGAGCGAGCTGCCGGCGGGGGCGCTTTTTAGGCGTCCCTGTGGCATTTGCATAACAATGGCCGAAGCCCGCCCCGCCCCGCCCCCTCGGGAGCGGATTGGTCGCCGCATGGCGAAGGAGGGCCGGCAGAGCCCCGCCTTCCCTGCGCACGGCCGGGGGGGGCGGGGGCGGCGGCTTCCCGGGGTCGGTCGGGCGAGCGCAGCCCTCGCTTGCATTACGGCAGCCGGGCGATGAGGGCTCGTGGGGCCCGGGCGAGCACCGAGGGATCGCCCTGCCCGTCTTTGCCTGCGACGGCTCCTCCCCCAGCCCGGTGGTTCCAGGCACGATCGGCCGGATCGAGAGGAAAAGGGGCGGGCGGGTTGCTTGTCCCCACTTGGTCTCCCGAGGGGCAGCTCCGCCTTGGAGCGCCTAGAAGAAGGAACGGGCAGATGCAGCCGAGGACGGGCGGAGAGGTGCTGAGGGACAGAAAGAGCCGCTGGCCTTTTGGCTCCCCAACCCCGATTTCCTAATTCTTCCCCCTCCCCAGGAAAAGACCCGAGCCCACACATCAGCCCCAATTCCTGAGTAAGAGAAGCCAACGGGTGCTTGCTGACATGGCACCACTTTCCCATCCCTTCAAAACAGCTCCTGCACTTTTAAAACAAGCTTGTGAGGCAGAAATTCAACAGGGGTGGCTACCATCCCTTACTTTCCGCTCAGAAATGCTTGCCTGGCTGAATTACTGCTGCTTCTGTTAACTTTTAAAAATGCAGAGTCCTGAAGTACAAGGGACTAACATTTTGTCCATGGGCTGCAGGATGAAGTTGCTAAGTGGCTGGAGCACCTGTCCCCTTGACCATCTGTAGCTCCCGGTTGGGCATCCACCCGCATAACTACAACAGCTACAAGTAAACTACAGCACAATTCCATAGCTCAAGAAACAACAAATAAACCAGCTCGTTTGAAAGGCCTGGTAACTCACCTGTTTTCTCTGTCCCAAAGAAGCAACCGGCTGACTGTCAAGTCTGCCTCCTTCTTGCATGCAGTTGCTGCCCTCAGGTTCCTGCAGGATCCAGGGCATCCTGGAAGGCCAAATAGGCACAGGTAAAGTCAAGCGTCTGTCTTAAATTCTAGGGGAAAACCGGGGGGGGGGGGAGAGCTTGGGCAGAGGCGACAGCACAACCTCGGATACCTCCCTGATTCAAACAACTGCTGGAGATGTCAGCAAACCCAATGGAAAGATCTTCGAGAAGGTTCCTCTTCCCCTGCTGTGCCCCCCCCATGCATTACGACTTCCAAAGTAATTGCTTTATAAGACAAAATGTGGGGTTTTGGTGAACACACTTTTATTGTGGTTTCCAGGGCGGCTATTGGCAATTTTTGCAGAAATAGTAAGAAAAGGTTTTGTGTTGGGCGCAAAAACTCAGGCCCAGGCCTCCTACTGTCCCCCCCCCGCTGAAGCCCCTGAGGGAGGCTAGGGGGGGGCAGAGATGGGGTGCAGGAGTGCCATTATTTCCAGGCTGCCTGTGGGTCCCCGCCTGCTCCAGAAAAAGGCCTTTTCTGTGAGTGCTGCCATGGGGCTGGCTCCCCAAAGGGAGGACTCAGTTTACATGGGGCAGGAGGCAGGGGGCCCTTATCAGGAAGCAGATCTATTGAAAGGATTGCTGGGCAAACAAAAGACAGAAGCCGCAGCCAAGCCCACAAAGGAACTGCTGACTCAATCAATTTCAGGGGGAAAAGAGGAAGAAAACTGAAAGTGGAACAGGCGGAGGGGGGGGGGGCAGGGGGCAACCAGGGCGTGAGAAAAAACCAAGCACTGGCCAGCCGAGGGGAGTGGGGGGGTATTTCCCATCCCAAGGAGCACTTAAAACAAGATGAAAGAAGTCTGGACTCTCAGAGACGTCGCATACAAGCCAAGAGTCCTATGTGGCCTGAAAGTCTGCCCGGCACGTTCACCTTTACCTCCAAGCGAGAGACACTTTTCTCTCTCCTTTCCTCCCTGAGGGGTGAAGGACCCCCCTCCCCCATGTTGTCAAAGAAGCTTTGGGGGTGACTTTCTCGGGTGTGTGTTGGCGTGGGGGGGGGAGATTGAGAAAGGGGGGGGGAAGTGTCTGGAGCCAAGTTGTACTTTGCATGAAAATAAATCCTTCATGGCAGGACTACAGGCCCCCTCCCCGTCCTAAGCCTCGGGGCAGCAAAGCCCCCCAATAATTCCGGCTCCTCTGCCGCAGGGAGGGAGGGAGGGAGGGAGGCCCCTTAGGCCGATGTGGAGAGAAAAACCGAGGCACTGAGCACTCAGGGCGTGTTCACGCGACGGTTCCAGCCGCCTGGACGGACCATCTTGAGCGGCTGATTTGGCCCTTTGGATGTGGAGGATCCGCGTATCGCACAAGCCAGCGATCCCGATGAATCCGTGCCCAGGCCTGGGGGGAACCTCAGCTCTTCCTTCGCTCTCCGTGTGAGGAAACGTGGCCAGCCCCCGGGGCGCCCTCCTCACACGTACCTGGGCGCGCAGGAGCCGCTTGGGCCGCGAAGCCACCGGCCCTTCTCCGTCGGAGCCGCGGCCTTCTGGGCGCGCCTGGGGGGGGGGGACGAGCGACGCCCCCTCAGCAGCGGCGATGCGGTCCGAGCCGGGCGGCCCTCCTAGGAGGCGGGGGCGGGGTCTGCCGGCGGGGGCGGGGTCGACGCGGCCTCATTACCGTGAACCCGGGAGCGTGGGAAAGTCTCGCGCCTTTCTTCCCAGCCGCGGGGAGGGCGGGGCCGGAGGGGCGGGGCGGGGCGGGCGCAGGCGCACGCGGGTCCCCGGGCGGGGGGGAGGAAATCGCGCTGCCGAGGGAGGCCGGGGTGCCAGCGCCGGTATCTCTGCCGAGATCTGGGCGAAGCAGCAGCAGCGCAGTTTCGCTTAGGCACGCAGAGAGCGAGCCCCGTGCAGAGTGGGCGGTGGGAAAGGCGGCTCAGCGGAGGAGACCGACCGGGGAAGGGGGGGGGGCAGGTGACGGGCCCGAAGCAAGCGGTGCCAAGGGCGGGCCACCCCTGGCAGGGACGCTGATCCGAGGGCTGGCGGCCTCCTCCTTTCACCCTGCGCAAAGGGAAGCGCGCGAGGCCCTCGATCCTGATCAGAAACTCTCCGCAGATGACCGATGCACGGCTCCTGCCCGTCGGTCTTCCGTGTTGCGCTGCCTTCATCGCTTCCTCCAAAAGCCGCCCAGGGCCAGCCGCCCCCGGCCTTTGAGCCCTCTTTTCCTGCGCAAGGAAAGCCGGTGCTTCTGGTGACGCCATCTGGGCCGGGTCTCTGCCGCGCCAAACCTCGGGGGGCCATTTCATTACGTGAGGGGCCCGAGCGCCTTCACCCTTGTGGGAGAAGAGAGGGACCGCGGTTCCCCTGGGACTCCTGAGCCGCTTTGGGGGGCTGCCCTGGCAGACTGTGCCAAGGGGCCTGGTCCCCGCCCTCCTGGGGGCTGCTAGTCTCTCCGAAGAGCCAAAGCCCAGAAGGGGTGGCGTCCTCTGAGATCGACCGAGCTTGTCTTGAGATGCTCAGAAACCCCCTTCCTGCCCTTTGGCTGCCTGCCTGCCTTGAGGGCAGGATGAGGGAGGGAAATGAAACTTCCTTCCGGAATTATGGAGCTCCCGTGCCAGGAGAGCGAGCCAGGCCCCCAGCGCAACCCCCCCACCAGGAGACTGATGGGTCTTTGGGTGGCCTCCCGTCCCTGCGAAAGCCTTTGCTCGCAGGGGAGTCGCCTGCTCTTGTGAGCACCTGAGCTCCTTCTTGGGAAGGAAAGTCGGCATAAACAGAATATTCAAGCATTCATCCTTGACAGAAGTGTAACTTTTAACATTTGAGGCTTTAAATCCCCCCTTCCTAAATGTGATGCTTGGTGGGCAAAATGTGGCTGTGAAGAGTAAATCAGAAGAGCAGGAGTCGGATGACCTCACCTCATTTAAGTAGCACAGTCCTTTATTGTCCTACAAACTCTGCAGCTGAATGCGTAAAAAGACGTATTTTACTCATACAAATCTCAGTAGCATTTACACCCCTGCCCAAAGCATCCATAGACCTGCTCGTCTAGCCTTGCGGACGGCTCTGCCAGGGGCGTCTCATTAGGTGAGGAGTGGGGGCTCTGGGGTGGGGGGTGGGGGCACAGAGCCAAGGAGAGCCCCGAGAGGAGAGAGGCCGCTGGCCCTCCAGACTGAAGGTCCAAGTTTCTCAGAGAGGCCTAGAGGTCTCCCTGTGGGCTCTCTTGGCTGAAACTCAGAGGGTAAACGGGCAAGCAAAGGAGGGGCAACAGGAAGGAGGGGCTGGCTGGCTGGCTGGCATCAAGGCAGACATTTCTTGCCCGTGCCTCTTATCTCCAGAGAAACAGCAGGACCTTTTCTGTGCAGGGGAGGGGGAGAGAAAGATGGGCAAAGGCTCTAAGTTGCACTCTGCAGAGGGCTCTGTGCGTGTGTGTGTGTGTGTGTGTGTGTGTGTGTGTGTGTGTGTTGGGATCCCCCAACCTCCAAGATAACATTTGGTCCTGGGGTCTGGAGTTCCATTTCCCGCTAGAGGCGACAGCCCCTCCCCACAAGACAGGCAGTGGTGGTGTGGGTCTGACCCTGTGAGATGGTCGCGCCAAAAGAGCACCTGAGGAAAGAAGCCGAAAATCCTTTCGGAGGTCCCTCTAAAAGGGGATGGCCTGCCAACATGCCCTCCCGCCGTGAGGGAGGCTTTGAGGGGCCCTGGGACCCTCCCCATTCCTGAGCAGAGCCCACGGACAAGCCCCGGCCCCAGTTCAGCTCTCTTCCGGCAGGTCCAGCACCTCCCTGAACTGGGAGACCAGGCGGCCCAGGTGGGAGCCCTCCCAGAAGACCTGGCCGCACTGGCTGCAGCAGTAGAAGCAGTCCGGCTCTTCCTTGGACAGCACCCCGGGTGGGACGGCCTCAACTCTCAAGCGGATGCCGGTGGGCAGCAGGGGGGGTTCGTCCCCTGGGCCCGCCGCTTCCAGCCCCTCCCATCTGGGACTGCAGGCAGGTTGATGACTTGGGGGCTCCACGGTGGCGGTGGGGCCAGGATCTCCCAGACAGGCCTCTGTAAAACAAAGAGCAGCACTTAGCCTTCCCCGCTGTGGGCCACTGGGCCATCGCCCACGGGTGGGGAGCGGGTGGGGGGGCAGCTGCTGCTTCAGATTCCCGGCATCCTCTGGAGAAGACCCGTTTTGCCGGGCTAGAGAGAGGAGCAGTGACTGAAGGCGAGTCCCTGCAGGATGCAGAGGGGACACTGGGCTCCGTGGGCAAAGATCTGCCCCCCCTCCCACTTTCAACCTTCTCTGGCCCAGTGCAAAACGGGCACTTTTACTGGAAAGCCCTCCAGAGGCAGCCTGTCCGAGAGTCTGACCCTGCAGCACAAATGGGAAGGTTTCTGCCGATGCCTTTTTATTGTGAAATCAACCCGGTGTAGCGTGGGAGAGAACTCTGCTGGTGACTCTGTCTCCCCACTCAAAGGGGGCTCCTCCACCGCCCACCCACCCCGTTCTGCTTCTCCAACTCCCTCCCTTCCCAAAGAAAACCCCCTTTGTCTTTGGTGAGACGGCAAGGAGGTGACCTTTTGGCGAGGGGCCCTTGCTGGCATTCTCTGCACTGGTGGGGGGGGAGCGGGGGGGGGCTTTTCCAAGGGAGAAGGGCTTTGAAAAGAATTCCTTGGGGGGGCATGGGATGGAGGGGGCTTTACAAGTTCCTCACTGACAAACGGCCACTTTGAAGTGCTTTTGTGTTGGTGACCCTTTGAAGTGTCCCTGGCAAAAAAGGCCAAATGGCCTGCCTTCCCTTCCTGTGTAAAGTCACAACACACACACACACACACACACACCCCTTCAGATAGGAGCCATTTGCCCCTCTTGACAGGTCACGGGTGTAAAAAAAAACAAAACCCTTCAGGATCTCAGAAATGTTCAAAGGTGCCGGTGGGGAATTCGGGCCCATACACAAGAGCTGTCTCGGTTTCCCTCAACAAGAAGGCAAGGTGAGAGCCAGCCCTTCTCAGGATGCTGAAGGTGTGCGTGCTAACCCGGGGCCACTGCCTGGAGAGAGGAAGGGAGTGGTGACGGCCATAAAACTTGCCCAAGTCTTAAAAACACCCTGGGAGCGTCCTTGGAGTCCAAAGGTCTGTTGAGGGGTGGGAAGCCCTCAGGAGTCTGAGAGAAAAAGCCCGTCTCCCTCGGGTGCCTGGGCATCCTCCAAGGGGCAAGAGGTCCCTGTTCTCTGGGTGAAGGGCCTGACCAACGGCTGCTGCCGAGGGTGCCAGGACAGCCCTTTTGAAAGGGCAGCTGAGGGAAGATGCCTGCAGGCCTGTGGAGGGGGGCAGAGTGGTGACCCTCCTGCTTTGGGAAAGGGACAGAGCCTCCGGGGTCTGCCTAGTCCAGATGCCCAGAAGGACATGGCTCTTCCATTCCCTGCTCCCCCCTCGCCATCCACTGGTTCTCCTTCTCGCCCTTCTTTCGGCAGGCGGGCTACCGAAAGGCACAAGGGCTGCCCACTGTCTGCGCTCGCTGGCAGGAGAGAGAGTCCAGGCTGGAAGACTGAGGCAATGTGCCCAGGACCACAAGGCTGGCACTGCAGCCGTGGGCAGATCAGTTGGGGCTCACGAGAGGATCGTGGCCAAGATGGAGAGGGGGAAGAGGATGCGCTGGGCCTCGGAAAGGAGAGAAAGGGGCGGGAAGGGATCTCACAGCCTGGGAAAAATCTGCCTACAGCCCCAGGTGAAAAATTCAAAGGAGTAATTATACCACAATTAAGTATCCTCTCCTAACACGCAAGCACAGTTAAAATGAAAATAAAACAGTGGGCAACGGGAAAGCAGGCCTGGGGTGGGTCACAGGAAAAGCAGCAGCTCAGCCGAGCCATGCTCAGCCACCAGTCCTCTTTGAGGGCAGCGGCTCCTTTCCCCTCCTCCTTCCGTCGCTTCCCTCTGAGAGAAGCTGGGGGCCCCCCCTCTGGAGCCATAGCCAAAAGGTGCCCACCCACCCCAGCAGCAACAGCATAGCCAGTCCCTGAGCCGGCCTGGCTGACCCACCTGGGGAAGGACTGGGGTAGGCCCACCCAAGGCAGGAAATGAGGCAAGGAGCTCTTTGGCCCCCAGCCAGCACCAGAGGGGGGGCACGTAGGCCTGGCATGGGAGGGGAGAGAAGTGGGCAGCCGTTGCCCCTGCTCTTCTGCCCTGGCCCCACGCTGCACCCCTTCCTGCAAGCTAAGGGGGGGGCAGGCAGGAGGGCGCTCTCTATTGTTTATGGGAACGAGGTGAGACCAGCGAGGGGGGGGGAGAGCCAGGTTGCTCTCTTGCTCTCAAGCCTTTCCTGGGAGAAACCTGTTCAGCCAGTTGGGTCGGTCACACGAATGGCAGCCGTGGCAGGGAAGGTCTCAGCAAACGGGGCAGCTCTCCCCCCCTCCGGTTCTTGGGGGGGGGAGGAGGAGCGAAGGACCCTCTCCTGCTTGGGCAGAAGGCGGCAGCTGCTGCTGCTGCTGTGTCCCACCGGGGATCCAGAGATGGCTGCAGCCCAGCAGGCCAGCCTCCCGGAGAAGCCCCTGCTGGGCTGCCCCATCCGGGCTCCCAAGCGACCCTCCCGTCTGTGACGGGCAGGGCAGGAAGGGGAGGCGCTTCCCTGCCACCTGCTGGGCTTCCTGAAGTGAACGGCCAGCCCTGACCGCTTCCCACCAGGCCCCTGGCCAGCCCAAAGGTGGCTTTCTCTCGACCTGCAGCCGGTGGTTCTGATGCCTACCTCCGTCCTCCCCCGTCCAGCAGCCACTCTGCTTCCTCAGCAGCGCCATCCTCTCCTTCGAGACCTTCACGTACCGGCTGCAGTTGCAGGCCTGTGGGGAGGCAGAGGGAGGGAAGGGGCGCTCGTGAGAACCGCCTGGAACGGAGGGAGAGCCAGTGAAAGCTGGGCTTGCAGGAAGGGCAAGCAGCATCGATCCCTGGGTAACCGATGTCCAGCCTCCTCATCTCTGTTTTCCTGGACCTGGGTGCCCTGAAGGGGGCAGTTCCACGCTGCCGTCCTCCTCTGAAGCTAGCTAAGCCATTATGTCTGAGGAGCCCCAGTTTAGGGGCAGCCGAGATGAAGCCCTTCCCTCTCTAGCTTCGGGCCACAGCATGGGCAGAGGGTCCCTCTCTGCAGCCCTCCAAAGACTCCCCTGCCCTCCCTGTCAGCCACTTCTGGGGCCCAGCAGAATCCAGAACTGTTTTCTGGGGAGTGGATGCTGGGATGCCTTGGGGACTCCCAGGAGAGCCCCCCAGGCAGGAAAGGCAATGCACGCCGTCCCCGGGGCCTCTGGGAACTAAGTGGCCGGAGTTCCTCCTCAAGGGGGGGGGGGCTGTGGCCTGGGCCACTCTCTCTCTGGGCATCCAGTTCACAGGCCAGGCCAGGCCGAGGCCGCACCGCCAAAAGAGCTCCCCATAATGGGGCTGATCTGCAGGTGCCGGCTTTGTCCCCCCCATCACAATCAGCTGAGCAGGCCTGGACTCCAGCTGGGAAAGGGGCCCCTTCTGCCTGTGGGGGAGCCAGGCAGAGACCCGGGAGGGAGGCTGGCACAGGGCCCGCAGCCACTCCCCTGCCTCAGGCCCCTGGAGAGCTGGCGGGGATGCCGCTCCCCTCCCAGAGAGTGACGTCCTGGGCCATCAGGTCTGAATCTCCCAGGAACTTCCCCCGTTTGCTCACCTGCACGGCAATTCTTGTTGCCAAACACTCTTTTCTGGGAAGGGAAGGGCAGCCCTGAGAATGACTCTTTCTGCTGAACCCGTCCCACTTGGACGGCAGGAGGGAACCTGCGCCCAGCCCCAGCCCTGGGAACGCTTCCCAGCGCAGGTCCCAAGGATGACGCGGCTCCTGCCGTTCCGATGGGAAAATCTCCCAGAGGGCTGGGCTGGCTGAAGGCCGACACCTTGTCAACCGAGAAGCACACGGGGAAGCCGTTAGGCGGGCGTGGCCCGGCACGGGTTGCCAGTCCAAGCAGCTCAGGCAGCCCAGGCTGGGGAGGCAGGCAGGCAAGCGCCCTGCACTTCTCTGCAGCCGCTGGCTGCGGCTTGGGGTTGGGAGGGAGGGAGCTGGAAAGACCCAGAGTTTCCCCGTTTCTCTGAGGGACCCACAGGCCCTACTGATCCTGGCTGCACCATCCACACTGGGCAGCTCCTGGGAAGGAAGGATCCCCGAAGTGAGGCACGGCGAGTGCTCCCTTCCGCCCGGGGGCCCCGGGAGAGCTGGCAGACTCTCAGCCGCTCCTTGTAAGCCAGAGCAGGACCAGGTCCGCCAATGGCTGCCCAGAGTCAGGACTGGTTCCCTGAAAGGAAGAGCAGGGCGAGGCAAGGAAAGGGGCTCGCGCAAGACCCAGTTCCAGGAAAGGCGACCAAAGTCCTGCTGGCAACCATCAGGATGCCAGGCTTCCTTTCTGTTCTGCCCAAGGCCCACCAGCCTTGGCCCTGGGGCCGCCCCCTCCCCTCCTCCCCCCTGCTGGCCTGGCAGGAGAGGCCATGGGAGCCTCTGAACGGCTGCTGCAGGAGGGTGGCAGCCAAGTCCCACTGCTCAGGAGGCAGCGAGGGCCCGTCTGGGGTTGGGCAGCGATTCCGGCTGAGCTGGCAGGGTCTGCCCAAGTGTGGGAACCGCTGCCCAAGGGGGTGCTCACCTGAGCGAGGGCACCGGCACAGCAGCTGCTGCCAGCCTTCCCGCTCCCTTGGGCCCTGCCTCCAAGCAAGGCAGGGCAGGGCTCTTAGCCCACCAAAGGTGGCCTTCCGGCTGGACGTGGCTGTTCCTGTGGGGCTGGGGAGGGGAGGAGAAGGAGGGAGGTCCCCATGACAAGGTCTGCCCCTTTACTGCTTCCTTGGGCTGCTCTGCGGGGGGGGGGGGGGGGGGCTGGGAAGGAGCTGTGCACAGCACTGGTGTTTTTTTCACACACACACCGCAGGAGGGGCTGAAGGCAGCCAAAGGGGTCTGCTGGTTGCAGCTGGTCTTCCCCAAGACCAGGGAACGTGACACGGGAATGGGGGGGTGGGAAGGAAGGCTGTGGCACCAGGCGGCTTGGGCCGGGCTCCCCGGAGCAGAGATCAGCCGAGGAGGAGCGCAGCAGCTTCTTCCCCTGTGCCCATTAGTCACGCATTGCTGGGAGCTGTCTCATGGGCTCAGACACCAACAGGAGCCAAACCTCCCTGCCCTGGTGGCTGACAGTGGGGATTTTCCAGCCTCAGCTCTGATTCCTTAAACAAGCCCCCCCCCCACCCCTGCCCCTGCTCTCCTTGCCTGCCCCGCTTCGCCCCCTGCCCTGGCAAAAGGGACTGGGCAAATAACCCCCCCCCCGGGAGGCATTGACTTGGCCCCGTCTCTGCAGCCGTTGAGCGGTACACGTGTGGCTGCCAGGGGGGGCTAAGGAAGGGGCCCAACTGAAGAGGGTCCGGGGGGGCGCGTGGGAAGGGCTGCTGTGGGAGTCCCAAAGGCCAGCCTCACAGGGGTGTGGGGAAGGCAAAGCTAGAGCCCGGATCCAGAGAGGCTTTCCCAGGAAGCTGCTCTGGGAGCAATCGGGCCCCTTGACTGACTACTCAGGCCCACCTGGAACTGGAGCCACCACTCAAAGAATAACAGGGCTGGGGGGCCGTGGCAGCAGACCCCAGCCAGAGCGCGTGAGGACCGTGTGCCCCCTCCGGGGGGGAGAGGAAAAGCACCCACTGCACCAGCTCCCCCCCCTGCCCTGCCGGGCTTGCTTCCTCGCCAGTCTGGCCCACACCTGCCAATCTGGAGGCTGCACTGCCAGCTGAATCCAGGGGGGTTGCCTGGGGGCTGGGGTCAGGATGTGGGCCCCATTGCATAGCCCTGCCTGCCCAGCCTTCCAGAAGCCTCTTCCAGCACCCAGAGCAAGAAAGCCAGACCGACTTTCACCACTGCTGCTGAGCAGCTTGCATTCACAGGTAGACTGCATCTGAGGCTGGAGGCCCTCTGAAACCTCCGCAGGAAAGAGCCCCTGAACCGACTGCTGTCTCTTCCATCCCCAACGCCTGCCCCTTCTTTGCTCGCCTGCCAATCCTGTCCCTTCTCCTCTGACTTAGGCAAGCTGACCGGAGAGAGTGACCGGAGCGAGGGCTGCTTGTGCCCGTCCTCTCCCACCCGCCAGAAAGTGGGGAAGCGGACACCAGGACGCCCTGTGCAAAGCGTGAGAACGGAAATGCGAGCCAGGCCCAGAAGCAACGTAACCGATCGAGCGGAAACAAAAGGCCCCGGAGAAGGAGAAAAACCAGTTCCTTGTGCACAAGGTGGAACAAGCCGGGAGCAGAGGAGGCAAGAGGGGGATCGGACACGAGTCTGTCAAAACCGCCAGAGAATCAGGATGCAACCAGGCCCTGAGAAGGGGGGGGCTGTTGTGTCACTAAACGGGTCTCCCCGGGTGGCTGCCAGCACCCAGGAGGGCAGGGGCAGCAGCCAAGAGGCCTGGGGAGAGGCGAGGAGGTGAACAGGAGGCGAATGCTCGGGACTGCCTCTGCCCACACACACGCCAGGCCCGAGTCCCAGACCCTCCGGGAAAGTCTGAACCCCAAAGGCTTGTTCCCAGACAGAGAAACGGGACGAAAGGCAGGAGCAAGACGGCCGTTCCCGGGAGGCTGCTCCAGTCTGGACAGTTGCCCCAAATTCAAGAAACCTGCAGCAGCCCTGCAGCGGAGCTTCCTGGCTCCCCCCCCCCCCCAAACAGCCCAGCCTCTTTACAGAAGGCGAAATCGCCGTGTCGAGGCAGAGCCATCCGAGGAGCTAAATGCGGGTCACGCTGAGAAGGCCGCCCCACTCCCCTGGCGAGGGCACAGCCCAGATGTTCCCAGCTGCTCTCGGCTGGGCTGGGCCTGCTGCAGACCCCTTTTTTCCCAGGGAAAGTGGAGGGGAGGCGGGCTCAGCCTTGGCACTCCCTCCCTGCCTTCGGCTCCTCTCCCTTCCCCTGCACAGCGACGGCAGCGCCCCATCCGCACAGGCCCCCTCCTCTCCTCCGTTCTTTACCGCTGCCCTTGCGGTGCAGAGTGGTGGCAGGGAAGGTCCCAGACGCAGCCTGGGAGGCTTTGGGACAAGCCGTCCCACTCAGCCCGGCCTACCTCATCAGCTTGTTGTTCCCAGCATCAACCAGTGGAGGGAGGGAAGGCGACAGATACCAACATCGCAAGGAAACAAACTCAATGTCATTTACAGAATGTTACGTTCCCACGCCATGCTTCTGCCCCCCCAAAGACACCCCCATCCTTGGCAAGAGGATTCAAACCAACGGATGAGGGCGGCAAGAAGGGACTGCAAAGAGGGGCCCCAGCAGCTCTTCTCCTGGCCCTCCCCTCCAGGACCAAAGAGGGAGCCCGCAGTTTTTCTGCAGATCTGGGAGCCTCTTTTGAAGCCCCTAAGAACAACACACCTCCCCTCCCCTCCATGACAACTTTTGGGGTCCCTCCTACACTGTGGCTGGACTCTGCTGATCCACCCCCAGCACTTGTTCAGCGGCGAACCGGAAGCAACAGAAGCGCCTTGTCGCCCCCTTCCCCAAGGGCGCCGGGGAGGGAAGGAAGGGCTCCCCAAGGAAGCGCCAAGGGCTGGCGGCTCCCTCACCGCCACTGAGTCCCAGCTGCTGCTGCGGGTGCTGTGACACCCCAACCTTTGGGAGAAGCAAAGGGGCACACTTGTCCCCCTTGCTTTCACACCCGAGCAGGGCTGCCTGCTACCAGGCGGGACCCGACGGGGGTGGGCCCTGCCTTTTGCAAGAGGCAGGCGACTTCGATAAGCAGACCGGCCTGGGAAAACCTGCCTGGGGGGTGCATCTCCTGTTTTGACGGCAGGACTGGGAACGCCCAGCCAACCACAGAACGG